ACACATTCAAGCATCCATGGCTTGAAAAGATCTTAAAAACATATACATTCCAAAAAGCAAACCTTGATCATGCCATTTTGTATAAAGGACACCATTTTGCTGGGCCATTTTATTTAATGGGACTTGAGCACTCTATTTAATGGGACTTGAGCATGGGATTTTGTTACCCATGAGGGGTCCTGGAACCAAACTCCAGCAGATACCAAGGCCCCACTGTACTTAAAGTCAATCAATTATTCTCAGAGTTAATTGAAATGAATGGTCCTTTCTATTAGAAAATTTCAAACCATCCAGCCCTACATTGATTTGACTCAGAGCCACGTTAGTCTGGAATATCAATTCCAGGGATGTGGAAGGACCTTGGAAACTAACTATGCAAAAGAAGTTGTAGCATAAGCTTTTGTAGACTTGGTCTACTCCCTTCCTTCAGATGCATGTAGATACCACATTTCAAAATTCTCTCCACCATTTGTATATATGGTCATTCCCCCACCTTGGCCTTAGACAACATCTTCCCTCCTGTGTTTGCCCCTCAATGATCATCCTCAAAACTGAACCTGTTTCTAAGAAAATAGACCAAGTCTACAAAAGTGATGCTACAACTTCTTTCGCTCAGTCGGTCTCAAAGGTGCTACAAGATCCTTTTGCATAAAGTAGGGTGAAGCATGTTGACCATAAGACAAAATCCAAATCCTTTGTATGACAATACCTTTAATAGCCCTATAGATCACTGAGCAAGCTTCTGAGGCTACAGGTCTCTTAGTAAGGCAAAGTTGTTGTTGTTGGGGAAAGTGTGTTTATGAGAGGTAAGAATGATGATCTTAAAACCATGCCATCCACAGGTTGCATAGAGATGTTACAAAATTTGACTCACTTACTCCCTATCACTGGCCATTATGGTATTTCGTGGAGAGAGAGCCATTCTGGTGTAGTGGTTTGAGTGTCGGACTAGGACTCTGGAGACCAGGGTTCGAATCCCAGCTTGGCTATGGAAACCCACTGGGTGACCTTAGGCAAGTCACATTCTCTCACCCTCATGGCAAACCCTCTCTGAAGAAACATGCCAAGAAAACCCTATGACAGGGTTGCTATAAGTCCGAAATAACTTGAAGGCACACAACAAAAATTTCATAGAGAGCTTGGGCAGAAGTCCCATTTTTTTATTTTTTATTTTATATTTTTGGATGACCACTCCCAGAATCCCTGATTGGGGAATGCTAGGCGTAACAGTCCAAAGAAAGAAAGAACTTTCCCCAAGTCTTGGTTTAATGTCATTCTCAAAGCTCCCACTTCTTAAGCAAGAGAAAGAGAGAAGAGAAAAAGACCCCACAAACGCATTACGAAAGAAAGGGCTATGAAACACTGTTCTGTGCTTGCTTGTTTACTTATAACATTCTTTTTTTAAAAAAGGGAAAAGTCAAGTCAACCGCTCTGGAAGAAAGCACAAACCCACAATTGGCCACCTCCTGCTTCAAGTGGTAGAGTCCATGCCACCACCCCAGGGCTCTACCACCTCCTTCATCTGCAGGCTTCCCCCAGACCTAAACAGGCATGGAAAGTGTTTTACATGACTTTAATCCCTAACTGCTGGTTAAGACGCTGTAAGCCGTTTAATGTGCTCTTAGCTTCCCTGTTGTAAACTTACCCCCAAAGGAATACAGCAAAGAGGGGATCAGAAATTATAGGATTTAGTCATCTGCTTACTTAACCAGAATTAAGGGAGGACATGGAGGAGAACCACTGGAAAAGGGCAGAGAAAGAAAGAGAAATAGACAGGAGTAGTTGGAAGAAATCCCAAGGGCCATCCGATCCAACCTCCCCACCATGCAGGAATACACAACCAAAGCACCCCCAACAAATGGCCATCCAGCCTCTTCCTTAGTAAAATCTACATTCACGTATTTACATGGTGGTTGTGCTATACCACTCTTGTCTAGCACACTGACTTTGTGGGATTGATAGTGTGTGTGCACCTGTGTGTGCATCTGAACTGCAGAAATAATACAGCTTGACACCACTTTTAACTGCCATGGCTCAATATTATGGGATCCTGGGAATTGTAGTTGGTTGTGGCACCAGAAGTCTCTGGCAAAGAAGGCAAATCCCAGAATCGCATAGCATTGAGCTGTGGCCATTAAAGTGGCATCAAACTGCATTATTTCTATAGTGTAGATGCACCCTGTGAAGGTTCTGATGAGAGACTGATGCCAGAAAGTTGCCCACTTTGCTTTACCCCAGTGAAGGTCTGGAAATGCAGCTGGTAAAACCAGTAGACAACTGGAACAGGCAAGCAGTCACCAAGTAGGCACTTGGAGATACTTCTCCACACCTTGTTTTCATTTTAAAACAAACAAAAACACCCTGAATCCTCTTGTTACTATCAGCTACAGCAGACCCACTGAATTTACTTATGAATTTCAAGTCAACAATGCCACAGTATATTTATTGGGGCTAACCAATATGATTCAGGCCACTGAAAGTCTCTTGTTACTATCAGTTACATTAGACCCACTGAACTGATGACCTTTACTTATGTATTTCAAGTCACCAATTCCACGGTCTATTCACTGAGACTAACCAATATGAGTCAAGCCACTGAAATTCCACTTTTTCCCCATGTCAGGCTTGGAAAGGCTCTGAAAACCATATCAGTTCCCGGGCCGTTTGTGTGGAATCATAGGGTTATCACTTTGCAATGTGAAAGGGCCCCAAAAAGAGAGAAGAAACTGTGCTCCATCTCTCTGCAGCCAAAAGAGGCTGTTCCTGTTAGGAGACAATTAGCCTTCATTTTGGATTTTCATTATCTGGCTCAGCAGCAGCCATGGGGGGGGGGAGATAATAAAATAAAAGGAGGGTAGATTCTGCAGCGGAGAGGCTGGACTGTTTCAATTCAACGTTCCTCTCAATTAATCCCAAAAGCAAGCAGAAAGAGAAAAAACTCCACATTGTGTGTAAGGACGCAGGCTTTCCTCCCCAAAAGGCTGCAAGATAACTAACCACTAGGGATGCAAATCCTCAGCTATTTCATCCTTGCATGTGAAGATGAATAATTACAGTACTTTTATTCCTCTATGGTATTTCCCTGGTATTCGAACACCCCAAAATCTTTTGGAGGAATTCTTCTGCGTAGAAAAACAAGTGAGTTTTTGTATGGGGGAAAAAAATCTGTTTTCTGTGCAAGAAACACTGTTTTTTGTGCAGAAAATTCATTTGCTGCTCAGAAAACAAGGGGTATGTGTGTGTGGGATTTACGTCTTCCTATGCAAAATAATTTATTTGCAATATTTTGCAATATTCAAATATTGGAAGGAAATTCAACAAAAATTCTGACAGGTCTATTATTCTTCCCAATAAAGTTTGCCAACTGTCATAGTTCATCTTTAACAGTTCATCTTTTTTGACCTGGGAACAAATAATCACAACTATTCTTCCCATCCCTACTATCTGATATTAGAAGGCTGATCTTCCATGTAAATCCCAAATGAGATTTCAGAGAACTTTTATGGAGTTGCATGGGGATGAACAACCTTTGGTCCTCCAAATGTTTCAAACTACAGTTCCCATCATCCCCCCCTCCAGCATGGCCAATGCTCAGGGAACATTGTAGGAGATGCAATCCACAACACTGAGAAAGTAATCTATTTCTGAGATGAAATGAAATGAAACGGATTTGTGGAGGTTGTGCTGAAGCAATTCCAGTTAAGTGTGACAGCAGAATGGATGGGATCCTCCATTTACAGGAGCAAACTATCTCCAAATCTCAGCTTTTGGGCATAAATGATAGGCAGCAGCCACCAACTTCCCTTCCTGCTCATGAGCTTTCAAAGGAATCTGTCTAGCTGTTAGAAACCAAATGTTTTGGACCAAATTAGATATTGAGCTATTACATTTTTTTTTTTTTTTACGATGGTCTCTGGGGCTCTTTAATTGGAGCAGATTTTCAGTCAGAGCCGTGAAGTCCACAAATGGGTCTTTAAAAATCCCGCCAAAGAAATTATCCTGCTTCAGAACACCAAACTAATAAACCCAGGAGGACAGAATTTGGCCATTCCTCTGAATCAGCTTGAGGAGCAATGGTTGGCAGAACTTAGAAATGGTCATTTCTTGGATTGCAACTCCCAGAATCCCCCAGCCAGCATGCCCTCCAGGACTGAATATGTGCAACAGGCTCAATGCAATACAAAACTGAGCTGCAGAAGATGTGGACTTCTTTTATATGCTTTGTGTAAGCCTGATATAAAACAGGTTCAAGATACTACAGGAGGGCTGTATAGCATAAAACTCTTCTCAGGCTTATGCATTATTTGTGCTATGGAGCCCATGTGAGGAATGGCAATGCTCAGCGACTGAACCAAAGACACAAAATGTGCAATCCAGTGCACAGCTATGGACAATGTACCGCGCGCATCCATGCATAATGTTCATCCAAGTGCAACAGCACCACATGTGAAACTACAGCTTTACAACCTTGATCTGAAAGCAGCCATTCGGCGTGGGACAAAAATGTCCAACCACGTCTGTAGGTCAATATACACCTGAGTAAGACAACAAGTAAGAAGTCTAGCCCCTGAGCTTCATCTTCTGGCAGATGCTCCAAAATTGGATGAAGCAAATCTAAAATAAAACCGATGAGGTGGTTTTCAGTTCAGGTTTTAAGTCATAAATCTTTACAAATTTCACTCGGGATTTAGACAAAGGACACAAGTTCTATCTGGTGTCATGATTTTTTAAGGATTCTCACCTCTCTCTCCTTTCTATCTGGGTACTTTCTTCTGGCTAAGTCTGGCTCCATCATAAGACATCCTGAAGACCTTGCCTTGAGTGGAAAGTCTGGGGTAACCTATAGGGATGGAAAACTTTGGAGCATCTGATATGATGGTCTCTTGGAGATGCATCACAGAAGGGTGCCCAAACTCCCTCTGTCTACAGTAGGCCCTTGGTATCCCCTGGGGTTTGCTTCCAGGACCATCTGTGGATACCACAATTTATGGGTACCAAGAGCAAGTGTGGCGTAGTGGTTTGAGTGTTGGACTACAATTCTGGAGACCAGGTTTCGATTCTCAGCTCAGCCATCAAACCCACTGGGTGCCCCTGGGCAAGCCACATGCTTTCAGCCTCAGAGGAAGGCAATGGCAAACCTCCTCTGGACAAATCTTGCCAAGAAAACCCCATGATCGGTTCACCTTATGGTCGCCGTAAGTCAGAAATGACTTGAAGGCACACAATACACACAACTTTGGGCAAGTCACATGCTCTCAGCCTCAGAGGAAGGCAATGGCAAACCTCCTTCAAACAAATTGTGCCAAGAAAACCCGTGATTGGCTCACATTAGGGTCTCCATAAGTTGGAAATGACTTGAAAGCACACAACAACAACAACAACAACTGTGAATGCTCAATTCCTATTATATACAATGTAAAATGGTGTCCCTTATAGAAAATGACAAAATTGTGGTTTGCTTTGTGGATTATTTTTTTTTTGGGGGGGGGGGTGATATTTTAAAGCTGTGGATGGTTTAATCCAAGGATGCAGAATCCATGGATACAGAGGACCAATTATATAAGGAACATGGCTGAGTACTTGGAGTAAGTTTGTGCGATGGATGAGGATACTTCACAAAGGAAGAGAGAAGGGTGTAGCCACATGACACAATTATAGCAGTCTGATACCACATTAACTGCCATTAGCACCATGTCATGGAATCCTGGGATTTTGGTGAGCTACATGGCGCAACATTCATTGGTTTGAGTGTTGGACTACAACTCTAGAGACCAAAGTTCAGTTACCCCATCAACCATGAAACCCACTGGGTTGAGACCTTCACCAAGTCACACTTTCTCAGCCTAAGAGGAAGGCAATGGCAAACCTCCTCTGAACAAATCTTGACAAGAAAAACCCATGGTAGGGTCCCCATAAGTCAAAAACGACACAGCAACAACACAACATTTTGTTCCTTGAACTATACCACTAAAGCCTTCTGACAGAGAATTGTAGCCACAGTTCCAAAAATTGTAGCCACAGTTCCACAGTTCTCATCCATCCTACTTAATTATAGCACGGTGATCCCATTTTGACTGCCTTGCCTCAATCCCACGGAATTCTAGGATTTGTCAATTTTTTTAGGGACTTGGAATCCTCTTCCAGAGAGAGCTGTAGTGCCTCACCAAATTACAAATTCCAAAAGTCCATGGGATAGAACCATGACATTTAATGTGGCATTGCAATTGGGTTGCATGGATATAAACACACTGGCATAGCATTTTTACACTAAGTAGTAGGACCATGAATTTCCCCTATGATGAACTTTTTCCTGCTGGTGCCAAGAGACTGGGGATTTCAAGACAAGCTTGACTGGCATCATTTCTCTAGGAATATTCAGATGGAGAGGTTTAGGGAAATTCCAGGTCCTTGCAACTCCGATTGGATCTTGGTAAAACTATCTTCTGATTCTTTCCTAAATGGGGCAAAGTATGGGAAGGGGTGACAAAGGGACATGCCCGCAATCTGTTGTCCTTGTGTGCATAGGGATACCCTGACAATCTCTTCCTTGAAAGCCGTGCAAGGAACAGGACCTCCATCTCTCCCTCCAGAAGGCAGATTTCTTTCAAAGCCGTGTAGATGTTTTCCGGATAACATCACAGCAGCAACAGGAAGATAGCGCATTTCCCCCAAGACCTTATTACAATTCATACAGACTTCGTAGAATATCAATTAAGGGCAAAAGGAGGCTGCAGCAAGCTCCGTTCCCCAGGGTTGGAAGCAACCCAGGGCCTTTTGTGGGTCTGCAGCAGGTGTGGGTTATTGCTAGGGGGAGGGAGGCATTGTCCTGGCACCAGAAATCTTTGATGGGGAAGGCGAAATCTCTCACAAAACTACACAATGTTGATGGGGCACCAAGAGATTTCTGCAGCCCACTCCCAGGACTAGTCCCAGGATTGCCCAGAAGTGTCTGAAGATGGCCTCACTGGGCCACAAGCCAAGCCAAGGCTCTTCTTTTCCCTCCCTGGCATCGTGCCACCCAGCGTACCAGTCACTCTCCTCGGCTGCTGCAGTTAAAGGCGGCATTTATTACTATTGCTATTATTAAATTTTACCAATCGCTGGATCTGCATTCCAAAGGCTGGCAGGCACAAGGACCTTTCGGGGTGGGATTTATCTTAACTTAACTGTCAGCTTAAGAAATGGTTTTCCAAATGGGAGCCCAGGCATCAAAGCTGCTTGAAAATGAAGAGTAGTTCCCTGCCAGGGAACACTTAGTGCCTTCCAGCCTGGAGAGATTTGCATGATCAGGAAGGATGGGACGGAGAAACCCAGCAAAAGAAGGAGATAGAATGGCCCCAGTACAGCAAGATGTGGTGGGTGGACTGTGCTTCTCAGCATTCATTGGCATTTGGTTGTGGTAGCTCAGGCTGATGGGCTTTGCAGTCCAGTGACATGGGGAGGGACTTGCAATTGCCACTTTAGCTATAAAGGCAGAGGAAGGTGGGGGAGACAAGCTGGAGCAATGGCTATTCATGCAACCATGGCACCAAGTAGTTTCAACAGGGATTGGGAGAAAACTCTCTTTGTGAACTACAAAGCCAGTAATCCTGCACCAGCATGGGTAAGGGCAGTGATTGGGATTTGGGGCCTTGTAGTCTGTGGGGTAGTGGTTTGAGTACTAGAGTACAATTCTGGAGATCAGAGTTTGATTCCCTACTCAGCCATAGAAACCGACTGAGTGGCCTTGGGGGTGTCACACACTCTCAGCCGCGGAAAGCCCCCTGATGGGTTTACCTTGCCATAAATTGGAAATGACTTGAAGGCACACAACAACAACAAAAACTCCCCAAAAAGGGGAATGTTGACCTTCTAGTCTAAAATGCTTTCCTCCCCAAAACCTTCAGTTAGATTATTGTGTGTTTATCCTGACAACAACCCTATGAAGTAGGCAGTTGGTCCCTTCTGGGATTGGCATGGCTGCAAGAGCATTGCCCCAACACTCACTAGTGATGCATCTTGGTCTCCTCTGGTCAGGACTAGCAATGGGATTTACACCAACAGGCCCTTTCTAGTGGAACAGGGCCATCTATCCAACAGTGGTGAGCTACATGCAGAGCTTGGGAAAGTTACTTTTTTGGAGGGGATTTCCCAGAACACTCCCACCAGCATGTCATTCAAAACAAGCAGCTTTTGTAGGCTGTGATGGAAGCCCACAGGCAGGACATGAAGACAAGAGGTCTCTGGTCATGCAGATGGAGGACGATGGGGATTGTAACCCAACACATCTGGAGATTGCAACAGATTGGGGAAAACTGGTGGAAAGAGTAGATCTACAAGACCTTAAAACAGGAAATACAGCAAAATACAGAAATGCAGAGGCAGCATGGCTGGCAGAAGGGAATGCTTGGGTGGATGACAGCATGAGTTACCACACTGGGGTTCCTCCATTGAGGAGGCCCACTGAATCAATGGGATTTCCTTATGTGTTGACTTAGCACTGAAAAAATTATTATGATTATTTTTGTCTACATGGGACTGGCAACTGCATTTTGGGTTTGCTCTGAATCAGCCAGGAAGCAACTTTCCATTCTTAGGGCAACAGGCCTTTTTTATAGTCCACATCTTCTTTTTCTTCCATTGCTAATCTCTCCTTGCAGAGCTCTCCATTTCTTATCTTCTCAATCTTGACTTTTACTCTCAAATCCCACAGACCTCAAGAGAGGAAGGACAGCCTGCTTTGCTCAGCAAGATCCATGGATGAGATAGATGCTGTCAGGAGACCCTAATATATTCTGGAAGAAAGAGATGCTGAGTTTGACTCTTTAGCCATGGACAGCAGTCCAGGGCTGAGGCTATGGATAGAAAGAGGGGTGTCTGTACTCTAGCACCCTAGTTTTGGAATCTCTTCCCCTTGGATGCCCAGTTGGCACCTACATTGCCATCATTCTGGTTCCAAGTGAAAACATGGTTGTTTTCAAATGCTTTTGGAGCCCAACTGGTTTTGTGTGGGTCCACACATGAGTGTTTTACTCTGGCTTTTCTACTTGTTAATATGTTTTGAGCCTTCTAAAAAATATTGCTTTTCACTGAAAGAGTTGATTTTCTTGTACCCTGAGATCTCTAGAATGACATAACTCTCGAGCAGGATACAAATGTTTTAATAAATGAATC